AAAAATAAATAAAAATAAAAAAAAAATAAATAAAAAAAATTAAAAAATATATATATATGTTTATTATAAATTTGGGTTAAAATTTCAAAAACGGTACACCATGTTGGTCATTTTTCGAAAAAAGCTCATCATATAGGCCATCATCAAGAATGATTCACTAAATTGCAACTTTAATAAAAATTTGTACAATAACCAACATAGTGTACTGAAAGTTATCATTTTTAGTTGCCATTTTTAGTACACTATGTTGATTATTGTACGTGTTTTGATTAAAGTGACAACTTAATGGACCATTCGTAATTACACCCTATATGATGGACCTTTTTCAAAAAATGGCCAATGTAATATACTAAAAATAAAATTTAGCCGATAATGCCATGTAGCTTTCTCACACAGTTATTGTTCTTTTTCATGTCTCGATTAATTGAGAAACCAACTTTCACATTAGGAAAATAAGATAACAATGAACGACTTCTACATTCATGTTAAATCTTAATTAACACAATTTAGCGTTGTTACTAACTTGTGTATTCAAAGTTGACTGTAAGATATGCATATTTCACTCAATAATTTTTACAGTATTCATGAATTAACTTGTACTTTTTGAACGATAAAGTTAACAGGAAGAAGTTAGACCTCTTGGTTATTTGTATGTAAGTGCCAAGGAGTTATGTAATGTTAATAACTTGACAATTTATAAAGCAATTTCATAAATTATGTCACCTAACGCTCTTGCTATGATTATAGCTTGACAATTTTAACTTAATGAACTAACAAGGAAAACGACTCTTGCACATTTTTATCTTATACAGTATATGTAATCACTCCTCCTTAGTTCTCATGTAGTTATTAAAAAAAATTATTTTGGCTATTATATTTATTTTATTTACGTATTACATTGGGTTTTTAAACTGGAGGAATAATTTTGCTTCAGGTCTATAAGGTTTAGAATATTATTTAAGATGAATTAGTATTCTAGATCATTAATTCATACAAGACCGATCAATGTTTGGATAAAAAATCTTCCTGGCATACATCATTCTATTCAAGGACTGACAGAAATACCATGGATGGTTCCACAATTTGTTCGACATGCTAAAATGTGTTGAAGTACTTCATTAAGTCTGTGCATGAGATATCCAACATCCGATGTTCGTATAGGACAAGATACCTAATTTCCAAGAGGACTCGTTAAAAGAAGGTCTTGGCCTGCACAAGATACCTAATTTCCAGTGAGAACTTCGTACTTGTGTCTATCAACGAATTCGTACGTATTTTTTATTTCTTTTTCTACTGTATTCTATATTAATTATGTAAACTTGACTCCATTTTTTCTTTAATGAAACTTGAATGTTTTTCCCTTGACCCTATCAAGTGGAAAAAGTCTAATCATTGCATAAATGACAATTTTCTCTAAGGGGCATACTGTTTATTATCCAGAATATTTGAGGTAGTGATGATCAAAAGTGTTATCTGAAGATCTTACTTATGCACAAGCTATACCAATGAAGGTGATCCATTCTTTGGTTGGTGCGATATGACAAATTTATATATAAGATTTATGGATATAATTAAATATTTGTGTCATAGTTCTTCTATTAAATTTAAGGGAAGAAAAAAAAAAATCACCTTCAATAAAGGTGAAAGTATCAATAACAAAACTACATATTCAATCAAATTTAGATGTGTTCTAAAAAGTATATCTAACTATCTTTAAATTACGGGAACATGAGTGTGCCATAGTGACTATGTTTTCTACATGACTATGGAAGTTGTCAATTGTGATACTCTCATAGCGATTAGAACTATAAAAATGACTCAAAAGATAATATCTCAATGTGACGTATGAAATGTTGGCCAGAGCAAATTCATAGAGATGAAGATGCAATACTGTTAGACTTTCTATCATCAATGTTTGTGGCCCAATCAGAATCAGAATAAGCAACAAGGTTCAGATGAGATGATCTTGCAATAGACAAACCAAATGAGGAAGTTCCAGCTAAATACCTGAGCACCCTTTTGACTCCCTTCCAATGTGTATCTAAGGGTGCCTGCATAAATTGACTGAGCTTATTTACTGAGAAGCTGATCTCAGGTCTAGTAATGGTGATATATTGAAGAGCTCCTAGCACACTCCTGTAGAGTGTAGCATCAACTGAGTCATTTCCTAGATGTTTGGAGTAGTGACAAGAGGTTATCATAGGTGTATCAGCACCTTTGGCTTCAGACATCTTAACCTGAGCTAAAAGTTTCTTGGTGTACTGAGTTTGACTCAAGTGAAGGTCTCCTTCTGAATTTGTAGTGACCTGGATTCCTAGGAAATGATGAAGGGGCCCCAAGTCTTTGAGAGCAAATTTTTTATGCAAATTGCAGATCAATGCTGAAATTTCTGGTTCATGACTTCCAGCGAATATGATATCATCTACATAAACTAGAACAATTAGATATGAACCCCCACTAATCTTGTAGAAAAGAGAGTGATCAACTTTAGAACAACTGAAACTCTCTTGCAAGAGTTCTTGTTTAAGCTTGGTGTACCAGGCTCTTGGTGCTTGTTTAAGCCCATAAATTTCCTTGTGAAGTTTGCAGACTAAGTTTTCTTGACCAAGGACTTCATAGCCAGGGGGCTGCTGCATGTAAATCTCTTGTGCTAAGTCTCCATTCAAGAAGGCATTGTTGACATCAAGCTGTCTAATTTTCCAACCAAAAGTGACTGCAATTGACAACACTATTCTGAGTGTGACATGCTTGACCACAGGACTAAATGTTTCTTCAAAGTCTATTCCAGCACTTTGAGTGTAGCCTTTGGCTACTAAACGAGCCTTGTATCTTGCAAGACTTCCATCAACATTTCTTTTCACCTTGTAGACCCACTTACACCCTATGATAGGTTTATTAAGAGGCCTAGGAGCAAGAGTCCAAGTACCATTCATAAGGAGTGATGAATATTCATCTCCCATGGCTTTGTTCCAATTTTCAGAATTCAAGGCTTCAGTGAGAGACTGAGGCTCACATTCTTCTTTCAGTGTGATACTAAGTACTCTTGGTTTATAAATTCCAAGTTTGGACCTAGTAATCATATGATGTTGATTACCTTGATCTTGTGGTTCAATGTGAAGATCAACAACAAGAGGGACAGTAGAGTTGGTAGAGCTTGGTGTAGAAGGTCTAGAGGTTCTTTTTGAATTATGGAACTGTGAGTGATCACTGAGAGGAGAAGTGGTATGTCTGATAGGTGTTGTCACAGTTGAGGGTGATGTGGAGAAGTGTGGCTGTTTTTGAATTTGCACAATAGGAGGTGCAGTGATGGCTTCAGCTTGTGTAAAGGATTTATGTGTGGAAGAAGTGGATTGACCCTTCAAAAGAGAGGGAAACTTTGTTTCTTCAAACAGTACATGTCTACTGATTAGTATCCTACCAGAAGGTAATAAAACTTTATAACCCTTATATCCATTTACATAGCCCAAGAATGTTGCAGGAGAGGATCTGAACTCCATTTTGTGTTTATTTAGATGTCTAGTATAAGGATAACACAGACATCCAAACACCTTGAGTTAGCTGTAATGAGGTGTTTCTCCAAACAACATCTCATGAGGAGACTTGCCTTGCAGAACTTTAGTGGGCAGAAGATTTATAAGAAATACTGCAGTTCTGAATGCATCTGTCCAGTAATAGTGTGGTACTCCAGACTGAGCAAGTAATGAAAGAGCAACTTCTACAATATGCCTATTCTTCCTCTCAACAAGTCCATTTTGTTGAGGTGTATATGGACAAGAGTGCCTATGGATGATACCATGAGATTGAAGATAAGGTGTAAAGACCTGAAACTCACCACCTCCATCACTTTGGAGTATTTTAATCTTCCCATTAAATTGATTTCCTATCATTTTCTGAAAATTTATGAAGGCTGAGAGGGCATCTGATTTTGCCTTTAAAAAATAGATCCAAGTAAATCTAGAGTGCTGATCCACAAAACTAATATAATACTTGTGAGCTGTATAAGAATGCACAGGAGAAGGTCCCCAAAGATCACAATGCACCAAATCAAAAGCATTAGCATAAATAGACTGAGATTCAGGAAAAGGAAGCTTGTGAATTTTTGATTTGCAGCAAGCATCACATAAAGGCAGTTTATCATGAAAAGTAACTTGTTCATTACAGAGATTTAAAACTTGAGAGACAACTTCTATTGAAGGATGTCCCAACCTCTGATGCCATATGCTATAATCTGGCTTCTTGGAAAGCAAACTAAGATAAGTGCAAGGAACAGCTGCAGCATTTGAATCTCTTCTTGACTTCTGAGCACAACTGAGGTCTTTAAATTGGTATAAACCATCTTTAATTCTCCCTTGAAGTAGCACTTCCCCCGAGGCTTGATCCTTGACAAAACAAGTTTTAGGGTGAAACTCAAAATACACAGAATTGTCCAAGGCAAACTGAGAAACACTTAGCAAGTTCTTTGTTATATCAGGAACAAGTAGGAGATTCTTAAGATGAAAAACTGAAGATGATGATGTAGAGTGCATATAGGATGATCCAACATGTGTGATTGACAAACCTGTGCCATTTCCCATATGCATTTTGTTACTGCCTTGGTATTCAGAGACTGAGTTTAAATTTCCCATTTCAAAAGTGACATGGTTTGTGGCCCCTGAGTCAGGATACCAGGCTGAGTCAGAGACATCTGAGTTTGTGTCTTGTTGTGCAACCATGGCTTGATAGTTTTGACTAGGCTGGTAGTTTTGATTTCTGTTTCTTGAAGGGTTCCTTTGATTTTGTTGGCCAGAGTTTGGAGTGAAGTTCAAATCACATCTGTAGTAACATTTATCTGCTGTATGATTTGTATAGTGACAAATTTGACAAGCATTCCTTCCTTGATTGAACCTTCCTCTACCTCTGCCTCTAGAAGATCTTCCACCTCTGAAGTTTTGTCCACCTCTGTTGCCATAAGAATTTGTTCCAGTGGACTGTTCTTTCTTGAAGTTCTGAGTGGCTATATTAGCACTGAACCCTTGGTTTTCTTCAACCATAACACCACTTACTGCTTCCAGTCTGGTTTCAAAACTCATAAGAAGAGCACAGACTTCATTAAGTGAGAATGAATCGGGTTTGGAGGTGACAGTCACAACTACTGAATCATACTCTGAGCCTAAACCAGCAAGAATGTGAAGAATTTGATCTGTCTCCTTTATCTTATGACCAGTAGCAGCCAAGGAGTCACAGCACGGCTTGATTTTGCTGATATATTCTCTCATACTGAGACCTCCCTTCTTCATGGAGGAGAGTTGAAGTTTATATTGCATCTGCCTTGCTAGTGACTGACTCAGATAATTCATTTCCAAAGTTTTCCACATGTCATGTGATGTTTCCATCCCAACAAGAAGAACCAGCAAGGTCTCTGAAATAGAAGAAA